AGGAACGGGAAGGCAGCAGGAGGGCAGAGAGGGACGGAGGCGAGCAGAGGGACCAGCCACACAAAAGCGGCCTCGGATCTCGCCGGAGCCGCAAGCGTTAAGGGGAGGCGGGGAGTGACGCGCGCTGCGTCTGGAGCGGCTCCGTGGAGCCCACAGCAGCCACCGCCGGAGCCTCGCCTTCCTTTCTCCCTCTGCAGACTCGTCGAGACACAAAAAGAGAGGCAGCCCGGACCCGCGCGAGGCGCCCCCGGCACCATGACCGAGACCACCAAGACCCACGTTATCCTGCTGGCCTGCGGCAGCTTCAACCCCATCACCAAAGGGCACATTCAGATGTTCGGTGAGTCCTCCCGCCCACCTCTGAAGCCGCTTCCGCTCCTCCCCGCTGCCGGCACCTGCGTTTTCCAGGGCGCTTGAACGGGAAGGCGTGTGCCCCTCCGGAAGGGGGTGCCGGCTCAGCCCGCCGGGGCGGTCAGCCCCTCCATTCCGGACGCGGGGGAGGGGGCAGGACTGCGTTTCCGAGGCGTCCCTTGCCGGGGCCAGACCCGACTCGCCGGGGCCGGAGGTGGGGGAGGGGAGGGGTTGGAGGTGAGTGTCCTTCTGGGCCGGGCAGGGGCTGGAGATTCGGGAGCTGGAGCGCAGCGGTTGGGCTACCTCGCGGCCGGTAGCCGGGCCGGGGGCCGAGGCTGGGGCCCGGAGCCGGGAGGAGGGGGCTGGAGATAGCGTGCTGTTTGTTTGGGATGGGCAGAAAGCTCGAAGGAGTTAAATGATGTCTGTGCCTCCGAGACGCAAACACACTCGCACACAGCACGCCGGTGACCGGGGCTGGGGTGTCGAGGGGATAGATAGGGTCTGGCTGATGGTTCGGGACGGCCCAGGGGCGAGGGTTTGAGGACTGTGGACCGTGTATTGCCCGCGCGAGGTGGATTCTGAGTGAATGGGGAGGGGGCCCGGGGACCCGCTGCCTAGGGAGGGGAGGGGGCGGGGCGGCCGCTGCGGGAGGCCCTTCGCGAGCCGGGGCTGGTGGGTCCGGGACCGCGTTGGCCGGGGCTCTGCCCAGGGTGGCGATGGCACCCGGAAGGCTTGCGGCGTGCGAGTGTGTGTATGACTGTGTGTGAGCATGTGCGTGTGTGCGTGTTGGGGGAGGGGGCGCATCCTCGCGCGTTTATTTCTTAGAAGCTTTGGGGCGTGGAGCGAGAGAGAGCCAGAGGGGGCTCTTGGCTGCTGGCTTGGGGTCCAGCAGGGGCCAGAGAAAGGTGATGAATCGACGCCTCTTGGAGATCTCGAGTCGCCGGTGGCGAAACCACGCGGCTCGGTTGCTGATCGAGCAGGATCCAAAGGCGCGGGGCGTGCGCGTATAGACCCGGGGAGAGGGACGCAGGGGCTACTTTAGAAGCAAGAATTGAGAAACGGGAAGTTCGGGGTGCTTTTTGCCTGGGACTGGGAAGAGCGAGCGCACTGGGGATGGAGGAGAGCCCGGGTGGGAGGCCCGGACGCGTCCGGCCCGCGAGGCGCTCTCCAGAGGCGGCGGTGCTGAAATGCAGGGCGCGCCGCGCTGGCTGCGGGCACACGTGTGGACTCCGAGCCTGAGTTCTACGCGAGACCTCTCAGGGGTGGGGAGTGAACGTTACATCATATGGGCAAAGGCCGGGGAGATGGCTTAGGCTAAAAATACCCAGCTTTAAACTCAAAGGGTGCGCTGAACTGGACCCGCTTGTTTAAAACCTCATGGAAAGAATATAGAACTACTTTGAGCAGGCAAATCAGGAAGGGACATTTGCACCCTGGAAGGAGGGAAGCTGAGAGAGAGCCATTCCTTGCTTGCCATTCCTTCAGCTTTTAGAAGCGTTTTGTTAGGAAGTCGTGCCAACTTGCCTGCTAGGAACACTCTGCTTTCACTTTCTTATGATTCTGATGTCTTCACCTTCTTTCCCTCTCTGTCCATATTTCCTCTAGCCCTTTTTTGTTGATGTACTTTCTTCCTCTCCCCTGACCAGGTAAGGATGGTCTTTCCTTTGGAATTTGGGCTCTAGGGATCTATAGTGACCCAGCAAGTACTCCTTTCCTCCTGGATTTAGGGACATAATCAGTCCCACTTGTTTTTAGATTAGGAGAGGAACAGGTCTGGATTGAGCACCAAGAATTCTGTCTTGCAGCTGAAGATACTTTGGTAACAGTGACAAAGGCTTTTGTTAAGTAGATGCTGACCTGTCACTTCTCCATGAGCTTCAAGCTTCGAGGATAGTATATGTGGAAATGGGCATGAATGCAGTGGAAGGGTTTAGACACAGGAAGATGAAAGGAGACTCTTGACAGCAGTGATTATTTACCTGGTATAAAAGCTGAGGACCAAGGCAGAATGTCTGTCAACAGGGCCCCTTGAGTGTCCATTAGTTAACTGTAATCCGGAAAGCAACACAGAAACAGGATGTGATTTGCTTGCTCACTGTGGCTTTAAGGAGTTACTACCTAATGAAGAATTTAGCACATAAACATGTGACAAAAAAGCAAGATAAGAACACAAAATACCTATTAAACTTTTTTGTGGAATCACTCACTGGAAACTTCAAGCTCTGGTTACATTTTATGATTTACTTTTGTAGAGCAGTTTCTGGTTATCAAAACTTTTTCACATATATTATATTCCTTATTCCTATTAACAACTTTATGAGAAAGACATCATTATCTTCATTGTACAAATAAGAAACTGACAGAGACCAAATGACCTTCTTATGAATCCACGTGGAGAATGGCAGGATTGACACTTGATCCCCACGTTCTCCATTCCTCCTGCAGAGGTCTTTGTACTCCACCAAAGATGGAAGGAAATACCACTAATCTTCTGACTGCATAATTCCATCAATGCTCTATTTCCTACAAACATATACTAGCCGATGAGAGTTAAATTGACCATCAACTCCATGAGACTTCTTAATATGCATTTCCTAAGACATTTTCCCTGTCTCTAAATAAATCAGTTATCCACACACTATTTACTCCTTTTAAATAGCTTTTTAAATTTTCTCCCAACAACACAGAAGTAATTAATGCAATTAAATCATCAAACTTTCTTTGAGATGCCTGACATTTTTATTTATTTGTTTGTTTGTTTAATTTTTTAATCAAAAAATTAGCCTGGTATGGTGGCATATGCCCGAAGTTCTAGCTACTTTGGAGGCTGAGGTGGGAGGATCACTTGAGCCCAGGCATTCAAAACTGCAGTGAGCTGTGATTGTGCCACTGCAATTCAGCCTGGATGACAGAGCAAGACCTCATCTCTTAAAAAAATAATAACTAAAGATTCACTCTCCATCTTTGTAAAGTAGCACTCATACAATTCTCAATATTTGAAATTTTTTAGAATAAGATTTTATTTTACTCTGAAAGGAGAAGTTGGTATTGTTCCTTTTATTTGTTATTATAGAAACATATAGGAAAAATACCAGCCTGGGTAACTTGGCGAGACCTCATCTCTACAATAAACCAGAAAAGTAACCAGGCTTGGTGGTACCTGCCTGTAGTTCCAGCTACTTGAAAGTCTAAGAGGAAGGGTTGCCTAAGTCCAGCAGGTTGAGCTGCAGTGGTCGTGAGCGTGCTGCTACACTCCAGCATGGGTGACAGAATGAGACTCTGACTCAAAAAAAAAAGAAGAAACATATCAGAAAAATAATATTTGTGATAGAGATATTAGACACTTGTTTACTCAGCTGTAGCCAAAATGCTTTCAGAGATGAATAAAAGTCTCTGGCAGTGTACATCCATAAACTAATGATGTCAAACTTCATCATTATAATGTGAAGCTAGAAGTTGTTTTTTTCTCCAAATATAAGTTCTTGTTTTTAAGTATGTAGGTATTATACTTTAGTATAACTTTCTTTACATTTATATTGCTATATTTGTCAATAAATTCACCACAAGAAAGTCAGGTAGCAGGTTTAAATAGAAAAGTAAGAAAGGACTGATCAGATTAGTTTGATCATAAAAAAAAGGAATTAGGGAATTTCATTACAGAAGAACTATATCCTGATCTTTTAAAAAATCCTGTTATTTTATTTTTCTTCTTAGACATGAGGTCTCCTTCTGTCACCCACTTCTTAGACAGTGGCGGTCTCATTTTGTTGCTCAGACTGGAGTACAGTGGAGGTCTTGCTCTGTTGCCCAGGCTGGAGTGCATGGGGATCATGCTTTATCACCCAGGCTGAAGAGTGGGAGTCTTACTCTGTCACCTAGGCTGAAGTGCAATGGCACAGTCATAGCTCACTGTGTTTAAGGGATCCTTTCACCTCAGCCTCCTCAATAGCTGGAACTACAGGTGCATGCCACCACATCCTATTAATTTAAAAGGTTTTTTAGAGAAGAGGTCTTGCTGTGTTGCTCAGGCTGGTCTCAAACTCTTGACTTCAAGTGATCCTCTCACCTCAACCTCCCGAGTAGCTGGGATTACTAGCCCAAGTCACCATGCCCAGCCATATTCTGCTTTTTGATAATTGCAAAATAACTGGATTTTTCAGTTTTAAAATATTTTTGCTTTGAACAATTCGATCTTTTGAAAAGATACACAATCCAATTCTGTTTTTTGCTTTTTGTTTTTTTTTTTTGAGTTGGAGTCTCACTCTGTCGCCCAGGCTGGAGTGCAGTGGCTGCTCCCGGCCACCGCAGCCTCGGCCCGCTGGGCTCCAGCGATCCTTCTGCCTCAGCCTTCCGAGTAGCCAGAATTACAGGCATGCGCTACCACGCCCGGCTGATTTTTTGATTTATTGTAGAGATGAGGTCTCGCCAAGTTGCCCAGGCGGGTCTCGAACCCGCGGGCTCAGGCAATCCGTTCACCTCAGCCTCCCAAAGGGGCGGGATTACGGGCTGAGCCAGCGAGCCCGGTTCTCTCTTTTTTTAAAATGGGCAATGAAGAGGGTCCTTTACTTGCTGTGGAATTGGAAATGCAGCCCCGATTGCTCCAGCTAGAAATCATAGCAAAAATGGATTTTAGTTGCTACTGATATATAGAGAACTGCCAGAAATCAGGAAACTGTTTAGTGAGCTTGAAATGCTTACATGAAAAGGTCATTAAGCACAATGTAGTACTTTATACTTTTGTACCACTGCCTCATTGATCATACCCTGTAAGATAAACTGGATAATATTATCATTCTATTTTCACTAATGACAAATTAGAGGCGCACATGTAATGCATTGGGTCAAGGTCATAGGCAAAAATCAATATTGAGAAGTTTCCAGAGATCTAGACTCTTTCTCGTTCATGAGGCCTCTTCTTCATTCCCTTATGATTGCAACAGCATCATAAGGAACCAGTTGGATTCAGCTGTCAAAAAAGGGTAGCTGGAT